GGGTCTCGAACCCGCGGGCTCAGGCAATCCACTCACCCCAGCCTCCCAAAGTGCTGGGATTACAGGCTGAGCCACCGAGCCCGGCTGAAGACCACATTTTAAATTCAGTATTTCCCTGGACTGACTCGTTGAGGACCCCGGTCCTCAAGTTAACAGAAATTTACTTGAGCTAGTTTAAACAGAAAATAATTTCACCATCTGTATGTGGAACCTACTGGCAAGGACATAGGTGGGCCATAGGAACTGATTTAAAATGGAGGTTATGCTGGACATCTTTTCTTCCACCTCCTCTGACTCTTGCCTCCCAGCCTGGCCCTCTTCTTAGCCTACATTGCCATTGATGGGGCCATCCAGGACTTAGTGGTAAAAGCATTTTGTTCTACTCTATTTCCTTGAAAGCTGCCAGGGCGAGAAGAGAAATATCTTCCATGAAACAAGTATCCTACCACAACCCTGAGGCACAAAATTTGGAGACAGCGTGAGGAAGGAGGCTGGGAATGGATCCTAAAGTCAAGAGTCCTAGTCCAGACAAACACATGCAGCAGTCTGTGATTAGAGCCATGACATCTGGGGTTGGAGTGAGTTCTTTTTTTTTTTTTGAGTTGGAGTTTCAGTCTGTCACCCAGGCTGGAGTGCACACTCACGGCCACCGCAGTCTGCTGGGCTCAGGTGATCTTTCTGCCTCAACCTTCCAAGCAGCTGGAAATATAGGCACACACCACCATGCCTGGCTACTTTTTTTGACTTATTGTAGAGATGAGGTCTCACCAGGTTGACCAGGCTGGTCTCGAACCTTTGGGCTCAGGCAATCCTTTTACCTTGGCCTTCAGCCTCCCAAAGTGCTGGGATTATAGGCATGAGGCACTGCGCCCAGCCAGAGTGAGTTCTAAGATGAAACAAGAGGGTGTGCTGACCAGGAGGCCAGTTGACAAAAAGTATCATATAAGAGAGTAAGTCCCTGCATCTTATGCTGATGGACTTGGTGTAGGGAGTGAAAGTCACACTAGAGGGGTTGATCATCTTTGACATAATGTTTCAAATTCATTGGGTTAAGTAAAATGTTATTAGAATTTGCCTATGATTTTTTTTGTTTTAGGGGAGAGGAGGGTATTTAATAGACTTTATTTTTAGATTGGTTTTAGGTTCACAGTGAAATTGAGCAGAAAGTAAGGTTTGCATATATCTTTTGTACCCTTCCCAACTATCAGCTTCCCTCACTGGAGTGGAACATTTGTTACAATTGACACATCTACATTGGCATGTCAGTATCATCCAGAGTCCATAGTTTCCATATCTACTCTTGGGGCTGTACATACTATGGGTTTTGACAAATATATACTGACATGTATCGATCATTACTATAGCATACAGATTAGTTTCATTGCCCTAAAGATCTCTTCTGCTCCACCTATTCCTCCCCCTCCCCCAAATCCCTGAAGACCACTGATCTTTTTACTGTAAGAGATATTTAAGGTTCCTCCATGACTTCATGGCTTGATAGCTCATTTCCTTTCTGTGCTGAGTAATATCCCAATGTCTGGGATATCCATTCACCTACTAAAGGACATCTTGGTTGCTTCTGAGTGTTGGCAGTTATGAATAAAGCTGCTAAATGTATTTGTGTGCAGTTTTCTATGTGCACATAAGTTATGTATACATAAATTTTCAGTTCATTTAGTAAATAGAAGAAGCATGATTGCTGGATTGTATGATATGAGTATATTTAGTTTTGTAAGAATTCAACAAACTGTCTTCCAAAGTTGCTGCACCACTTTACATTCCCTCCAGCAGCAAATGAGAGTTCCTGTTACTCCACATCCTCAGCATTTGATGTCATTGTTTCAAGATTTGAGCCATTCTAATGGATCTGTAGTGTTCTAGTAGAGCTCATTGTTTTCACCTGTGCAGTTTTTTGTTTGTTTGTTTGTTTTGTTTTGCACCTGTGCGGTTTTTAAAAAATTTAATCATAACTGGGCATGGTGGCTAATGCCTGTAATCCCAGCACTTTGGGAGGCTGAAGTGAGAGGAATGCCTGAGTCCACAGGTTCAAGACCAGCCTGGGCAACATGGCAAGACCTCATATCTACAAAAAACAAAAGTTAGCTGAGTGGTGATGGATGCCTGTAATTCCAGCTACTTGGAAGACTGAGGTGGAAAGACCACCTGAGCCCAGCAGGTTGAGGCTGTGGTGGCCATGAGTGTGCTAGCCTGGGTGACAGTGAGACTTCAACTCCAAAAAAAAAAAAAAAATTAATCATGTGACTTACACTTGTGGTTTGCATTATATTTTTCTTTTTTTCTTTTTTTTTTGAGTTGGAGTCTCACTCTGTCACCCAGACTGGAGTGCAGTGGCCACTCCCGGCCACC